ATGTGTGTAGTTTATTCATAAATATGCATGAATCAGTTAAGTAAAGACATAAACACACTACTTTATAGAGGTCCACAATTCTTTCTATGTTAAATCCCATCTTCCAGAAACTATACTCTGTTCTAGCAAACTCAGATTTCCCCCAAATCCTGTCTTTTCATTGAGAAATATAGTTCAAATTTCCTCTCCTGTACTATATTCTGAAAATAGCCTTAGGGGAGTAACCTAGGCGTGAAAAAGGATCCCCCTGTTCTGTACTTTTGAAAGCCTAGACCCCATTTGTCCAGTATATTTTTGGGGGAGACAGAAGAAGAGATTGCATCACATGCAGAGCCTCCAGACACCAGGCGCTTCATACACAAATCAAAAGCTTAACATCATCTTTGATGTCACTGTCTTTGTTTTCTGTTCCCCAGTTTATCAATGAACATAATTTTTCATTGTTATTATTAATATCATATTAATACTAATTAAATACTTACAATTTGACAAGGGTTTTGGAAAGCAGATATATAAATTCAGATACTCAAGTTTCAACTGGCTTTGAGGACTTTATTCTTAAGCTCCATTTTGCCTTCCATGTATACATAATTTTAATAACCAATAGCAAACAAACCAGCCTTCTCCTTCCCACTGTCCTTTCAGCTGGGCAGGAGATAGAACTTGGGAGGGTTGAAATTGATGAACAGTGAGAAAATCCTTCTTAGTACCTAAATGGCCAACATAGTATTATCTTCAATACCACAGATCACTCTAACTTCTGAGAAACTGGCTGCTGGTGCTGGCACTATAGAAAGAAATTTAAGGAAATTTTGAGTTTCAGAAAGAAAGATGTTCATTCTTTTTTGAACATGATCAGATTATAATACTCTGTGATTGAAGAGATGCTAGGACTACAATTTCTTCTGCACATTGTGAGCTTATCCTGTAAGGTTTACATTTTAACTTCTTAAGCATTACAATATTGTGAAACACCCTCATTCTTTGAGAATCTGTGGTTGTAAAAGTTAACAGCCATGTCTATATAGAAATTATCTTATAGCAGCAAGTACTGTACCATGCACAATTAAGTGTTCAATGGTGGTTTTTGCTGAGCAGGATAATAATGACTTTCTATGGAATGGAGGGAAGAGGTGGACATTTAAAGGCTAATGTCACTCATATTTCTGATCTCTGAGATATCTATGTATTATCTATATTCTCCTTAACTTTTAATTTGAATTTATTTACATTACATATTTCCTTGAATTCTCTTCATCAAAGAGAGTATTTGTATTTTAAGGAAAAGAACATTACATTTCAACTTTGTTGGTGTCATTTGTTACAATTCTAACTTTTATGTAAAAATTGTGCCCTTCTGGATGGAATTATTCAGCTAAATTCAGTGTTTTCTCTATACTAAAATAGTTTGTGATTAAAGTGTGTCTTTATTATTTTATGGACTCCTAAGTTACCACCAAGAACAACTGTCCATTAGAAGATATACTAAGACAGGGGCTACAGATATAGCTCAGTGTATTTGACTGGCATGTGTGAAAGCTCAGAAAATTCTAAATTATAATGTAATCTAACTGAATTTGTGTATTCTAGAACAAGAATACACAGTAAGCATACACTATTGTGATGTCCCCCTTATGCTTTCCATCACACATCTTTCTTAGTCCACTAGATCAGGTTGATCTTCAAAAACAGTGTATGGTGCATGCATTCAAAGAAGCCTGAGACAGGTATACAGCTTGTGCGACTGTTAACAATTGTTTAACATCTCTGTGTGCCAGTTTATAATGAGATCACGAACAACATGTGATGAGATTATCAATAGTAAATATTAAAGTGATAATAGCTAACACATGTATTTGTTAAAATTGAGGATATCACTGGAATGGTGCCTTTAATTGATCCTGAGGCAAATGCCACTCTTGTCTGCCATTATCTTTACTAATACAATGATTACCATCAAGAGTCAGAACTCTCTTGAAGAGAACAGATCTTTTCTTATTCATATTTTACTCTGTGCCCCTTGAATCACGCACAGGGACAAGGACACTGTATGAATACAGTATGTATATGTATATGTATACGTGACATTTACTTGAATTTATATTTGACGTTTCCAAATATATTTGAAAACATACTTGAATTGTGTATTTGTTCTTTTGTTTAGAAGAGGAAGCATCAGAGATGACATGAACTGCTTTTGGATCAACAAGCATCAATTCCTGTATCTGAATATGCCCTGCAGGTGGTTTAGATTCCTTCTTCTTACAGCTTTCCCAATAGACTCCAAGGCATGGCCATTGATCTCTGGGTACCAATCCTTACCCAAGAGCAGAACACTACCTCAGCTCTAGGTTCAAACACCTCCTTGCACTTCACTCTGTACAGTCCATAGCCAGCATCAGACATCCAAGCTTACAGTATTGAGCAATCCCCTACTGTGTGCAGGTGCTCAGTGCTGAGTACCTGGACAAGTATGCGTGAGGATAGGCAGATGCTAATATTCCGTAACTGTTCATGTGTAGCATGAGTTTCTAAAGCAGCAACTTTAAGAATTATTCCTTAGTGCATCAGTTTAGAAGCAATAAAATAATGACATGTCAATCCAAGGCAACAGAATTGTGCACATGTAGGATGATGAGACCAAAAATACATGATGAGCGTAGATAAAACTTTGCTATATTGGGATTTGTGGAAAATGGATAGATTTTAGCTATTCTTGTCTCAAAGGCACCAACAATAGCTATGAAGTTACTAAAATTCTAATTTGCTTCATCCTAATGACCTTTGAACACTAAGGTCATATTTATGCCTTAAATCAACTTTATAAATTTATCATAAAAGTAGATACTATCGCCAGGTGTAGTGGCACATGCCTTTAATCTCAGCACTCAGGAGGCAGAGGTAGGAAGGTCTCTGAGTTTGAGGTTATCCAGGTCCACAGAGTGAGTTACAGGACAGCCAGGGCTAGACAGAGAAATAATGTCAAAATTAATGTGTGTTCTATCAATGGGGTAACTTTTGCCCTCTTATCTAACAGAACTGAAAGAAATTCAGGAACATAAAGCAGAATATCAAATCATATTGAAATATATGATAACACTATACTTTCTTCATGCTGAAATCAAGGACCAAGACTGACTCCTTCCATGCAAAAATGTTGACTTTCTTTGAAATTCCAGGCCTGGAACCTTAAAAGGCTGTGAGGTTTAAAACTTAAGAGAATCCTGTTAGTTTCTGGGGTTGAGAGATTTATCAGTAGACCAGCCCAGTCTACTCCACAGAAAATTTAAGAAAAATGTGGAGCAATGCTGCATTAAAGGTGAAGACTGCGCCCTCCCCATCCCTGCAGTGGGCTGCAAATTATGCATGAAATGCAGTGCACAGGAAGAATATGAATGCCACTCTGCAGATGCGCTGTTTGCTAAGACTTTCTGCTTAGGTGGACTCAGAAAAAGTGCATCTACTTCTATCACCCACCCCCAAGAGAGATGAATCAAAATAAGATTACATTATTCCACTGTACATAGATATCTTTGGGGTTTTCTTCTGATCTACCAAGTCCTACAGGAGTTTGCCAAGTTAAAACTAATTCAAAAACATTAACTAAGAAAATGTGTAAAATGTTCATTTTAAATAAAGTAACCTGGTCTGGATCGCGAGATCATGTGGGCCTGGATCACTAGATCACATGGGCTTTATTGATTTCCTAGTAATGAATGACTCAAACTTTACAATTTTGTGGCTTTTTAGTTTGTCCAAATTTTAGACCTTTGCTTTGTGGAATGAAGGTAATATGTACCCAACAACTGTGAAGATTAAACCAACAAACAAAAAAATGAGTTCTAGGGGTTGCTTCCTTAACACAAAGCAGCTACTGTTAAAATCTGGCAACCATATTGCTTCTATGTATGACAGACATACTTGTTGTAGCATGAAAAGCCACCAGGTTTAAACCAGAAATCCCAGGATAGGTTCTTTCTTTCAAATTTGTTAGAAAAGTCATTTAACCCTTCTGAACAAAGACAATGACTATTTTTCAATGAATGCGGAACTTAGTTTTCTCTTGTGAAAAGAATAAATAGAAATGAAATCTTTAAGGTAAAAAATTGAAAACAATTTTTGTTAACAAACGTACACATATATTATATCTGGGTTCTACAAATATTGCCTTCAGGGAGGCAAAGAATCACAGTGTAGAATTATTCTAGAATGTTTAGAAGCATTTTCTTTTGTCAGGTTCTATACTGTGTATTTACTGAAAACTCCTCATAAGAGAGTACAAACGTGTGCACCTATACTAGGCATGTGAGCTAAGCTTAATAAACTCCTGGATGTTTAGTTTAACTATTTAAAATCTTGCTCTAATTGGTTACTCTCCACTCTGGTTCTGTTTTAGAGTAGTTCTAATCATCTATACTGTGCATATGCCCCAGGCCTAACCATCTTTATTTACTGTGTATATAGAGACACTTTTGGACAAAGCAAAGCTTAAGATCTACCATGTTTTAAACAACAATTAATAGTTTTTGTAATATTGATAATCTTCTCCTGTTTGATAATGCTGTAGAAGTCAAAAGAGGGATTGTCTCATGCCACTGATGGGATCCACATCCAGGATCTGCTTCAAATCAAGTGATATCACCATTCATATGTAGAGCTACATATGCATAAAAATTATGTGATTATCAGAGGAAAATGATTTTGAAATCTGATTCACTTCACTTATTCAGCCAATTCCAAAAGAAGGAATAAAAATAGCATGGAAAAGAGGAACTATATATCAGGCAATAACTTTTCATTTCCTACAAGAGAAAGAAATAATGCATACAGAACGCACAAAGAGAATGAAGCAAATTCATTTTGATCCTGTGGCGATGCTTTGAAGTTTACTTTTAACCTAGTCTCTTTTACATTTCCAGATGCCATGAAAGGTGATGCAGTCAGAAGGCAACCCGATGGGGATTTTGCTTTCCCCACTGGAGTCAAGATTTGGATCTTACTTTTTCTGAAAGCAGCTTTAAAGAACTCTTCAGGCTGTCTGGAGAGCGCTGGCTGGCAGAGGTTAGCAGCAGGTCTGCATGAGTTGCTATGAGTGGCTGCAGTTGATTGATGCTGCTGAGAACTTCCTTTGCCTTTGCTGTGTTCTCAGGTGAATAGTAAATAAACTGGTAGCCCGTGCTGCAAAGACAAGGACAGCAGCCAGTTATGCAAAGCATCAAAGCATCGTTGACAGCATCTGCAACTGAACACCTGATGATCAGAGGCAAAACAAACCCACATTTCATTATTCTTACTTACCATATAAGAACAGAGGTAAGATTTATTTACAGACTTAAGGCTAGATGATGTAAATCCAGCCTTCGATATCAACCAAAAGAAAGATTGCTTATGATTACATATGTTAAGGATTACTCTCAAAATGACTGATAACAATAATCACTGAAGAAGACCAGGCCCAATAGCTGAACGTCTGCCCTCAACACCCACAATCAACTCAGTTACAATATAAACCCTGGCTTGAAGTTCAGTAGGCAGTGAAATCATTCAGCAGCTTTACCATCCCCAGTAGGAATAGAGAATTAATTATATAAGCAAATCTATGAAATGGTTAAATTCAGAGGCACTCACAGGCAGAGACTGAAACAATGCTTGATAGGAAGCAAGCATTCTACCCAGTACCTGTATTTTTCTCTATGACAGTGACAAGCACAAGAGAGTAACAAACATTATAAACTCAAAAATGAAGAGAAAATAAATCAACTCCAAGTAGCCAAATAGACCATTCTATTTTTAAAGGGAAAAGATTGAATCTAAAGCTTTATTATACTGTTTCATCTCCACACTTGTTCTTAAATTTAGCTTAAGAACCTGAAAACTGGTTATTAATTAGGAATCGTTGATTTTCATAATCAGTATGCAAGAACGGATGGGGAATCTGGTGGGAGGAGGGATTATGTGGAGCAAAGGAATCAGGAGCACAAAGCAGGCTTTGCTTGCCAGGATGTGAAGGAATGGAAGGCAAACCTAGAGGAGAGGAGAGAGCAAGGGAGAGGGAGGGCTGGTCACTGTACTCACAGGCTTGGTACAAACATGTCTATTCCCTTTTATAGCCAATAGTCAACAACTTGTTTCTAAAATGCATTGAAGCCTGTTTGGAGTGTTTGTAAAACATTTCCCTTATAGTTACTAGCTAAAATAGTTACATTCCCATCATTCCATTTTCATTTTTTGAAAACTTAAGATGTCACTGATAAAGTTAGTATTGAGAAAGCAGTTTTTCCTCTCTCTCTTTTTTGTGGTTCCTCAGTGAAAGCTGTTTAAATCTTTTTAAAAGATGATAATATTTTACAAATATACCCCTCACAATATATGTCCCATTTTGAAAAGTAATTATAATTAATGTCCTTGTATGTTTGAACTAATGACATGAGGGAACAAAAGAGCAATTATCGTCACAGCCTTGGAGAACTGAGATCTAAATCATAGTGTGGACAGTCTAGGGTCCATTCATTCTCTTGTTTTGAGTTGCCCTTTAGAGTAGAAATGCTATATAATTCAACTCTCCAGTCTTCTAGAAATAAAATAACTCCACATGACTTTTGCAAAGCAAAGAGTTGACTAAAGGTATTGATGTGGCCCCCAAAATAGGGGGTAGTTCTGGATATCCCACATCTGTGGTTAGAGAGCTAAGGACTCACTCTACACCACATACAGAAAACATTGTGTCCTACATTCACTGTGACCTGCTTCACTGGCTTCGTTTCCTGGTACCATCATCTGCCTTCTGGATTTATAGAGACTGACAGGGTCCCCAGTGGCTTTGTCCTTAGAAAGCTAAAATGCCCAAGGCCGGGTGTTCTTCCATCTCTCTGCTCACATGATTTCTTTCTCAGTACCATATTTCTGATGCATATTACTCTTTCTCCTGTCCCATCTTCGTGATGACTGCCTCTGTTCCTCCTTGACTTTTCTGACAGTTCACTCTGATGTTATTTGTAGATATTGTCCACTTCCTCTTTATCTTTTTCTCATTATGTGGCCTGAAAATTCTCTTAGAATTCTCCACATAATGTCTGGCATATATGTTTCCAAGAAAGTTTTCTGTATGCTTTTCCCGTTTGCCTTAGATGAGCATTTGAAGGCATACAGTGGGCTCTGCACTAGTGACAAGTCCTCAGGAGGCCTTGATACAAATGAACAACTGCATCGTTCTAGCAGTGACACCTGCTCTTCTTGATTTAATTTTGAGGTTCTCCTATAAATGCTAGATCATATTTCATAATGAGTCTGGTTTAAGAAAAACACTTAAGTTACTGTGAATGTCTTAGCATTTTTATCAGGCTATATGTACAGATGTTCTTTACATTCTACCTACATTCCCTTCACATCATTACTGTTACTTCCAACATTTAATATTGCTCTTTTATTTTTTCTCTCTTGATTATGTCATCCTCTCACCCTGAGCCTGCTCAATCACAGCCTTGGACATAACCGAACATCCTGCTCTTGTGGCGGCTCAGTCAGGTCTTCTGTGAGGCTGCTGTGGAGCATCCGTTGGTCCCTATTATGTTCTCTTTTAATGATGGGCATTGTAGAGAGGCTGAAAGGTTCATCTTTCCACAAGGAAGATCAGTGTTTCTGTCCAAGATGACATGGCATTGCCGTGTCTGTTGGATGCCTTACTCTTTAAACATGTCATATAATTTAATAGTTAAGCTTCTTAAATAGAAAACTGTGAATATAGTTAAATTATGTACAAAATAACTATTTTATATGAGTCTGAGATTTAGGCTGAATCCAAATATTTGAGTTAATAAGCTAAATCAAGAAGACAATAAGCTAAAAATAGAAAGAAAAAATATTTCTTGGAAAAGATTAATACAATATAAAAACAAATTATGGAGGATAGGAATTGAAATTGGTTTCACATTATATTTGTATTAAATAAAAAGTGATTCAAAGTATATACATAGACTTTACATCAAGCTAAATGCAATGAGAACATGGATACATACCCTCTTACATATGTTCCTTAGTCTATTATTGCTGGTCTGTCTTGCCTCTTCTAGTGCCAGCAAGTCTCAATCCTGGGGACATTGGCTTGTCAGATCCATTTGACATCCCTAACCATTTAATATTGTGGTTTAAATGTGTCAGCCATGTGCAGGGTTCCTCAGTGCACATCTCTAACCCTAACTCCAGCTGAAACAAAACTTCTTGGGGCAGATCCAACTCAATATGTCAAAAGGAATCCCTGGGTTGCCTGCATTCTCAAACAACCAGCTCAGCTTCACCTTTCTGCATTTTACATAATGGCATGGCTACTTACTTCTCTTCTTCCCTTGCCTTTAACAGAAAAGCTACCCTTTCCTGTTAAATAAAGCCAGAATCTAACCATTTGTTCCCATAGTCACTACAAATATCCTGGTGCAAGCGGGTATCATCTTCCACCATGAGGGTTATTACAAAACCCATTCAAATTCTAGTATTACATCTAGCTATTGGGAAAATTGTGTGTTAAGATATGGACAGTTTGTTTTTTACCTCTGTTCAGGTATTGAAAATATATAGAGAGGGCAGGAGGAAGAGGGGGGATTTTTTTCAAACCTAATCCTCATCCTGGAATTTAACTGTAATGTTTCTGTTCTTCCTCTGTCCTCTCCAACAATGGTTTGACCCATCACGAATCCACACCAATATTGTTATCAGTGGAAGTATAGAAGAATGTGCATCACAGATGAAGGACAGACAAGAGAGGAAAGGAGAAAAACACAGGGTGAATAGCCCCAAAACAGGAGTCAATGAATTTGAGGGAAAGTGTCTTAAGTAGTAAGTCTCTTTGTGTTAGAGTTAAATCTACAAAGGAAATCTTAGGGTGCTTTTTTCTTACATTTTCCAAGTTCACAGAAGTGTGTGTGTGTGTGTGTGTGTGTGTGTGTGTATGTGTGACCTGAGTAGATGGAGAAGTATAGACAGGCTCTTCATTCTAAGTGAGAAGAAAGCATGTGAATAATACATAAAACTTCACACTTCAGTGCACTTGAACATACCCTTCTGGCTTCACAGGGCTTAACAACATGCTTCCTGAAATTGCTGAAAGTGCAATCATACATCTCTGCTTTCCCCTCACCTGCTTCTTATTTCCTGCTGGATGTGGGCCTTAGAAAAAAGAGCTAGAAAAAAACAAAACTCTCTTTCTTTGCCTCCTGTGGGGTTCACTTATGTAATTAAATGACTTACAAGATCTATGCTTAAATTAGTGTTTGTTTTTCAAACTAGTCTTTTTGGTAAAAAGAAAGAAAGAATATTTCTCCTTGGACTCAGTGAAAATTTAGGTTCCATGTGTGTTTTGGTCAGTTTGATTCTACCACTCATTAACTCTCTGACAACTAGCACTAATGAAGGAGACAAAACTGTGTTAGCTACTCCACTCTTCCCCCTAAGAAAATTGTTTTGTCTATTCTGATCAGTGTGTCTTACTATCTGTCTTAATGTGTATGCTCTTGATTGTGATTTCTTAACCACAATGGCCTCTCTTACGTGTAAATAGATGTAATTTCTTTACCCTCTACAGATCACATAGAAATGTTCTAGGTACAATTATATAACACTTCTTTGAAATGAACAACGTCACACTGTAGTATCTTCCATGTCCTGTCTGTACTTCTCTCTGTGTGTCCTTGCCTTGACTTCCTTGGACATCTAACGGTCTGTTCAGTTCTACATTGATGAAGTTTGGCTTCTGATATTTTCACACTTAACACTTCTGCCCAGATGAGACAGAATAATATCCAAACAAGAGCTACTGACTCTCTTCAAAATAAATAATCTTCCCTCTATTCTGGAAATGGTCTTTACTAATCAAGGAATGGAGTGAAGTAAAAAAATTAAAATCCATTCCAAAGTATTCTGCATATGTTCCTATGACTACAAACAGGCCTAAGACAGCTTAGGTGGGTAATGGAAATGTCCCTAGATAGGGCTGGAATTTAGTCAACAATTTGTTGACTAAAATTCAATGTATTGTACATTTACAATAGACCATCTTCATGCTACGAAAATTATATTTTGATAAATCTTTTTAAAAACAACAAATATCCTTGGTATATATTATAAGACTGGTAATTATCATCCAGAGATAAGAATACAGGAAAATGAAAGATACATGAACCATTTCA